CCTTCTCTTGAAAAATCTGAAGACCAAACCACGTAGGAACACTGTCAAGTAGATTGTTTCCTTTGCTCACCTCATTCAACTTCCACCACCTTTCAATGGGTTATGAAAGGTATAAAAATGTGTCTTCACACTCATCAGACCATATGAGCGATAATAAAAAATCGGTCAGGAAAACCTCATACACTACTATCAAACAGTCTGGCACTATTTAGTAAAGATGAATATATACATAACTTATGACCCAGCAATTCCACTCCTGGGTATGTAATCCAGAGTAGTGGTTTGGAACCTCCAGTACACAGATCCTGAGTGAATCTATGGATAGAATTCAGAGGGTCTGATAAGTTGGATGGATAATAGTTCCATCCTCATTGGCACCAACTTCTAACTAAATTTAACCATTTCCTTTGTTTATGAAGGTAGGCAACAAACCACAATATTAGCAGGGCCTGTAACTTTGTAAATGTCAAATTCCATTTATAGTTGTTGCAAATACATAAAAATTTCTTCCACACTTATCACTGCTTCAAAATTACATCTCTTACACCCTCCATTAGATATTGTTACTTAGTGCCCTAATAAAGAAGCACGTCTATTTCTTTTTACAAATGCTTTCTTTTATATTTCATTATTCTAGTTCAATTTTACCTTTTTTTTTTTCCCCAAGACACCAACCAGGGATCTAGTTCAATTTTTTCATATTTGTTTTTTGTATTTTGATGATTCTAGTTAAATTTTTTTCTCTGCATTTGTTTTCTTTGCAACCCTATGTATTTGTCATACGTTTAAAACATTTGGGGCCCATAGGCTCACATGATTTTGAAAGGATTTTAAGATACAAAGAAAGGTTAGTAATTAGAGAAATTCTTCTGGCAGAACCCGGAGATATCTACAAATAAATTCAAACAGCTTTGTCTATAATAGTCAGATGGACAAAAAAAATCAAGGCATTTTCGTGTAATAGCATAGCATACAAAAGGGAAGTGAATTGATTACTGCAAGTGCATTAATGTGGGTGATTTTCAAAAGCCTAAAGTTATAGCTAACAATTATGTAACAAAATAATAAAATTAATTTAAAAAAAAAAAAGAAAGGAAAAGAAAAACCAGAAGATCTGACAGCATTGGTTCAATATTCCCACAGGGTAAATTTAAACTGTGCCTGTGTTCTTCTATTCACGACAGTCATATCCCCCCTTACCTGCTACTCTGTCTGGCCCCTTAGATCTGAATTTGCAGTCCCTCTGATGTATGCAGTTGACAGGTTAGAACTGAGCATCACCCCCTGAATCAAGTTCCCATCACTCACATATACCTTACTTCCTATAGGCATTTCTAGTAGCATGTGGAGCTCCTGCCACCTGCCTACCAACACGAAAATCTCTGGTCACCATGCCACCACCAGGCCACGGTTCCCTTCTTCCATAGTTGGGCTTGCTGCTGCAGCTCTGTCCCAAAAGGAGGCTCCAGTTTCCAGGTCTCATGCCGATAATACCTGAGACTTCATCTAGTATTTTTCTCCTCCTTTGTCTATTTTCCCTCCTCCTACTTCTAATAAGAGTAGGTCTATATTAAGCCTAGACAAGTCCAACCAGGCTAAACCAGGGGAAGCTAAAGGTGACAGCCTTTGTCCAGGTGTCTGTGTGCACACAGGCTTGCGTGGCACCCTAACTGCAACTGTGACGGAGGCAGTTATGTCACACTTCTACTTTCTTTTCTTAGCCCCTGTTGTCTAGCACAGCCACCAGCCCCTGTGGACCTCCCAAGTGCACACTCACGGCACGTGCTCACATGCATAGTCCCCTCCTACTAGCGAAAACCTTCCATCCACCAAAACCTCCTTCCCTTCTCCAAAATAACCTCTTCTCTCCCCAACAACATTGCCAAGTATTTTTCTTTTTCTATTTTTCCTTTCTTTTTTCTTGTTTTGCACCTTCAGCTGCACTAAACATCTATAGGAATATATGTTACTCATATAGGAGTTGAACTTGAAAATTCAGTAATTGAAATTAAGACGTGAGTAAAATTGTCTGGACGCGGTGGTTCACGCCTGTAATCCCAGCAATTTGGGAGGCTGATGTGGGCGGATCACCGGAGACCAAGAGTTGGAGACCAGACTGACCAACATGGAGAAACCCTGTATCTACTAAAAATACAAAATTAGCTGGACATGGTGGTGCGTGCCTATAATCCCAGCTACTGGGGAGGCTAAGGCAGGAGAATCACTTGAACCCGGGAGGCGGAGGTTGCAATGAGCCAAGATCATGCCATTGCACTCCAGCCTGGGCAACAAGAGTGAAACTCCATCTCAAAAAAAAAAAAAAAAAAATGTGACTGCAATTAAACCCCACTGTCTTAGTATGTATGGACTAGTATAACAAGATACCATAGACTGGGTGGCTCAAGTAGCAGACATTTATTTCCCACAATTCTGCAGCTAGGAAGTCCAAGATCGAGGCACCAGCAAATACAGTGTCTGTTGAAGGCCGACTGCCTCATTCATAGACAGCCAGCTTCTCACTGCTGTGTCCTCATATGGTGGAAAGGGAAGGGCACTCTCTGAGGTCTCTTTTATAAGGCACTAATCCCATTCATAAAAGCTCCAGCCTTACGACTTCATTACCACTGACAAGACACCAGCTCCTAATACCATCACAGTGGGGATTAGGATTGCAACATAGGAATTTGGGGGAAGCCACACAAATGAATTTGGGGATACATTCAATCTATGGTACCTGCTAAAAATGTCAGCATCATGACAGAGAAGCATGCTAAACTAGACAATTCCTAAGAAGTATATATGGATTGGAGGACCTACCTACGGTCAAATCCATCTCTGAGCAGCCACTGGGCAATTTAAGAAGCTACTCTCAGTCTTTTATCTCATGCCCAAGTTACACCAAGAGCAAAACGACTGAATTCCCGAGCACTAATCCTTGGTTATCTATACGCCAAAGCCTGATGTGTATTTTTTTGCCTGAAAGCAGGTTGTTCTCATCAGCAGTTATATCCACGTCAGGCCAGCTTATGAACACTAAGGAAACAGAAGCTCTTCACTTCCCTTGCCTTGAATTACTGCTTCCTCTCTTGGCTCTGAGAGTTAGAAATGAATCTTATACAGAAAAATGTGTCTTCCACCAATTGGCCATATTTCTGCTTATGTTTAGAGCAATCCCATCTTCTTTCCTCCATTACCAATAGTATCTTACGGGTCTTAGATACTTTTTAACAGAGCATTGCTAACAGGATTCGTGGTGTTAATTATGTTTTGGTGATGGTAAGAGTGCTATAATTTCATTTAATTAGCAACAATATGAATGCATTAAAAAAGAAATGATAAAATGACGATAATAAAATTGAAAGCACATCACCTTCACATATGATTTCCATTTTTAATATGCTTCATTGAGTCCAGATTAAATATATTGTTTTATATTCTTTATATTCTTATTAGTACAATATGATAATGATAAGCAAAACATCTGTACCTGGTGACAGATGGTGGAGTGGGCGGGTGGGTGGCTGTTATTGGTGAGATGGCCATCATTCACACCACGTCTTTTTTTTTTTTAATATTTTAGTTCATACTTCATTTGTTTTAACTTTTTTTCTTTTTTCCTTTTTTTTTTTTTTTTTGAGACAGATTCTGGTTCTGTCACGCAGGCTGAAGTGCAGTGGTGTGATCTCAGCTCACTGCAACCTCTGCCTCCCAGATTCAAGCAATCCTCATGCCTCCGCCTCTTGAGTAGCTGGGATTACAGACACCTGCCACTATGCCCAGCTAATTTTTGTATTTTTAGTAGAGACAGGGTTTCACCATGTTGGTCAGGCTGGTCTCGAACTGCTGACCTCAGGTGATCTGCCCACCTCAGCCTCCCAAAGTGCTGGGATTGCAGGCGTGAGCCACCACACCCAGCCGTACCTGATTTATTTAATTGCATTCATTCAGTATTAATTTATCAATACAATATTAATCTCTAGTGACTGCTAAAACGCATGGATATTCCATTAAATAGCAACTTAAAATACCATCCCTCTAGATTCTAAACAGCGAATATAACATTTAACTCTTTGCTTCCCAACTCTCATGGAAGGCTGAGGTTTGAGAAACAGCACTCATGTAGAATTGCATGAATGCCCTAATTCAAGTGTCTATTCCACGCCTCAGCAAGCAAGTTCCTGGGTGTGTTAGGCAAGTTTCCGCCTAACTTGGCCCTTTTCATTTGTTTGCTTGTTTTTACTTTTTGCATCTTTTTTCCTTTGGCCCTTATTTTTTGACTGAAATCAGCTGTGTCAAGCTCTTCATGCAGCTCAGGTGATGCTATCAGAAATGGTCATGTCAAATCTCAAAATGAGAAGTGTAAATAAAGACGTGTGAAAATGTTTATCACTTGAAAACTCACCAAAGAAATGTAAGCAACAGTGAGATGACTACTTTTGTTTACCGCATTAGCAGCAATTTCTTTTTAATTGATAATGAATACATTGCTAGGCAATCACAAGTGGTGGGGTCGGGCTGGACTGGAGTGTCAAGCATGACAGGGATAGCAAGAGGTCGGGACCTGATCCGTTCACTCATGTATTCAACAAATATGTATTAAGGTCCTACTGTGTACCAGACACCAAAATAGAGGGTAAAGAAATAATGGTGAGAAAAAAAAAAAAAGAAAGAAAGAATGGCGAGCAAAAATATATACGATTCCTGCTCTTATGGAGATACAATCTTGTGAAGTAGATGGCTATTAATCAATAATTACACTAATTAATCTAAGCTGGGTGTTCTGCTCCAGGGACCACTAGGTGTCCTCATATCCATTCACTCTATCTACAATAACAGAGCTCAGGTACACAGCTAGGCAAAGGCAGCCAATATAAAGGCTACTTTTCTGAGCCTCCCTTACAGCTGAGTGTAGCCATGTGACCAAGTTCATTCATTCTTTCATTCTTTCTTTCCTTTTTCTCCCTTTGCTTTCTCTCCTTTCATTCCTTCCTTTCTTTCTCCTTCCTTCCTTCTGTTTCACAAATTTGTATGTCATCCTCGCACTAGGGCCATAGCTAATCTTCTCTGTATGGTTCCAATTTTAGTATATGTGCTACAGAAGCTAGCATGAGACCAAGTTCTGATCAGTAAAAGGTGAGTAAAAGTAATGAGTTCAATTCCTGGGTCATGCTCCTATAAGGAGTGGCTGTTTCCTCCCTTTTCTCTTTCTTCTTTCCACTGGCTGAAATGTGGATGTGGCAGAGCATCCTCCCAAAGCCTGCTAGGGAGCCCAATAAGGCAGAAGGATCCTGGGTTCCCAACATCAGAGCCTCAGACAAGTCCTGGGCTGCTTAGGCCCACAGCGGATTGTGACAAAAACTAAATGTCTGTCATATTAAAGTCATCAGGTGCCTCTGTTTCAGCATCAGACCTATGTCCTAACAGATGTCCTGAAAAGAAGAGAGTTCTAGGAGAAGGCACAGTGAAGGATCAGGGATAGGGTGAGCTTATCTGAAGAGTTGAGGCTAGAGCTCAGATTGATGGGTGGCTGTATTTAACTGGGCTGGAGTTTGCAGTGGGGTGGGGAGGAATGGCTTGGAGGAGGCTTATTTAAAGAACTAAACAAAGAGGCCTGGAAGGGTGGCTCACACCTGTGTTCCCCAGCACTTTGAGAGGCCGAGGTGGGCAAATCATCTGAAGTCAGGAGTTCAAGACCAGCCTGGCCAACATGGTGAAACCCCATCTCTACTAAATATGCAAAAATTATCTGGACATGGTAGCAGGTACCTGTAATCCCAGCTACTTGGAAGGCTGGAGCAGGAGAATCGTTTGAACCCAGGAGGTGAAGGCTATAGTGAGCCAAGATTGCGCTATTGCATTGCAGCCTGGGCGACAGGGCAAGACTCTGAAAAAAAAAATTAGCCGGGCGCGGTGGCTCAAGCCTGTAATCCCAGCACTTTGGGAGGCCGAGGCGGGTGGATCACGAGGTCAAGAGATCGAGACCATCCTGGTCAACATGGTGAAACCCCGTCTCTACTAAAGGTGCAAAAAATTAGTTGGGCATGGTGGCGTGTGCCTGTAATCCCAGCTACTCCGGAGGCTGAGGCAGGAGAATTGCCTGAACCCAGGAGGTGGAGGTTGCGGTGAGCCGAGATCGCGCCATTGCACTCCAGCCTGGGTAACAAGAGCGAAACTCCGTCTCAAAAAAAAAAAAAAAAAAAAAAAATTAGAGGAATTGTAGTCTCAGAAAGGGCTAGCTGACCTGTGTCTCCCTGCATTTAGCAAGCCATAAAGATTCCTCTGGGAGTACACTCTCCATACCAGGGCAAGAAAATAGCCCTTATCACCAGAGACTGAGAATTGGGGGCTGCAATAGACCAAATAAACATACTTACCAAAGTAACCCTGGTCTTCTACATCGCCTTATTATCTCCTAATGACTCCTAAAAATTTTACATTTAAAAAATGTAGTACATAGGCCAGGCATGGTGGCTTACGCCTGTAATCCCAGCATTTTGGGAGACCAAGGCAGGTGGATCACCTGAGGTCAGGAGTTCAAGACCAGCCTGACCAACATGGCAAAACCCCATCTCTCCTAAAAATCAAAAAAATTAGCTGGTTGTGATGGCATGCACCTACAGTCCCAGCTACTTGGGAGGTTGAAGCAGGAGAATCGCTTGAACCAAGGAGGCAGACGTTACAGTTACCTGAGATCGCACCACTGCACTCCAGCCTGGGCAACAGAGCAAGACTCTGTCTCAAAAATAAATAAATAAATAAAAATTAATAAAAATATAATACAGCCGGGCGCGGTGGCTCAAGCCTGTAATCCCAGCACTTTGGGAGGCCGAGGCGGGTGGATCACGAGGTCAAGAGATCGAAACCATCCTGGTCAACATTGTGAAACCCCGTCTCTACTAAAAATACTAAAAATTAGCTGGGCATGGTGGCGTGTGCCTGTAATCCCAGCTACTTAGGAGGCTGAGGCAGGAGAATTGCCTGAACCCAGGAGGCGGAGGTTACGGTGAGCCGAGATTGCGCCATTGCACTCCAGCCTGGGCAACAAGAGCGAAACTCCGTCTCAAATAAAAAATATATATATATAATACAAATATAGTATTTTTAAAATATAGTACATTGCAGCAATGTTTGTAGCAGACAGCATGAACAAGCTGTAACTGCTTATCGCAATAAAGAGGATGCATGCCGTAAAGAAGGATATGCCACCCCAAATACGCCAGTTTGGTATATTGATTATTTTCTTTGTCTTGTCATTTCTTCTCAGATTTATTGTCCTTTGTCTAAAAAGTATAAAAGCATCTTGCTTTAGACACCTGTTCAGACTTCAATCTCTTGTGAATGTCTCCATGTACATGTAAAGCTAATGAAATGTGTATGAATTTCTCTTGTTAATCTGCCTCATGTCAGTTTGGTTTCTAGAACCAGCCAAAGAGCCTACATAGAGCTAAAGGGGAATTGGAGGTGATCTGACTCCTCTACAGTCACAAACATGTTGACTAAAAAGAAGACAGACGGAAAAGAACACATACAATGTACCTTTATTTATAAGGTTCAAAAACAAGCAAGAGCAGCCTGTATCAAACATATGTAAAACGTAACCTTCCGGCCAGTAGCAGCAGCTCACACCTATAATCCCAGCACTTTTATCGCAGGATCTCTGGGATGTCGAACTTTCTTGCTGGAAACCTCTGTGCCCAGGGTGCCTTTGCCCAGGTTTTTGCATGACTTCTTGTCCTGCGTTCAGGTATGCAGACAAGTGAAGGCTGAAGAAAAAGAGTTTTGTTTAGTGTTAGAACAGCTCAGAGGAGTGGGTAGCTCCTCTCTGCAGGCAGGTCTTCCAGTGGAGTATTCAGCTCTTAGCAGAGAGGAGGCCCTGGAAAGGGTGGCTCCTCTCCACAGCCTAGTCATTCAGACGTCTCTGCAGGTCTCTGAAGCTCTCAGTAGAGAGGGTAGCTCCTCTCTGCCAGTTGGTCCTCTCTGCAGCTCTCAGTGGAGAGGGTACTCCACTCTGCAGCTGGTCTCTGCCTTCTTTGTGCTCTGGCTGTCCTCTGCCCCGCTCTGGCTGAGCCCAAGTCTTTCATGGACTTCAGAGGGGAGGAAGTGTGTGCCAGTTAGTCCATGGGTGGCCACATGGTGGTGCTGGGAGAGGCACCACAAGTTTCTACTCCAGTCAATGGGACTGGCAGCCCTGCTCCTAGCCTCCAGGCCCTCTCTGGCCTGAGGGCGGGGCCTTACTAGGGACTCCACCCCCTTCCACCCAGGACTCTGCCTCCTGCCGTTATTCATGGCCCTGGGGCTTGGCCCCAACCCTGCTCTGATCTCTGAGATCAGAACAGGTATTGGGAGTAGAGAGAGGCCAGGCAGTGGGAACAGACACCCTTGAGGCTGCAGAGACGAGGGTCCTTCCTGGGGTGCCTGAGGGTGCAGGCTGCAGAGACACCTGGGTCCTGTGCCTGGGAGGGCAGCAGCTGCACCCAGGGGTTCCCAATCCTCCAACTCAGAAGAGGCAGGGCTCCCGCTTGCCCCTGGCTCCTGCCTGCATCATGGAGCAGGAGGCCCAGGTCTGCAGCCTCAGGTCCTGCAGCTGCAGTAGCACCTGGGAGGAAGACCCTGCCTGTTCTCGGCTCCTCCAAGAGCATAGGAAGGCTCAGATCCACAGCTGCAGTCTGGGCCACTGTAGCCTGCTCTGTAGAGCAGGAGGCCTAGGTCTGCAACTGCGATTTGGGTGGCTGCAGTGGCGTAGAGAGCTCCGGTCCCAACTCAGAAAGGGGAGGGCTTCCACTGGCTCCATGGAGTGTGCAGCCCCAGCTGTGCTTTCCTGCTGCAGCAGGAATAACGGAAACAGCCACTGCCATCACTTTGAGAGGCCAAGGCGGGCAGATCCCTTGACATCAGGAGTTTGAGACCAGCCTGGCCAACATGGTGAAACCCTGTCTCTACTAAAAATACAAAAATTAGCTGGGCAAGGCAGTGCATATCTGTAATCCCAGCTACTGAGGAGGCTGTGATAGGAGAGTTTCTTGAACCCAGGAGGCAGAGGATGCAGTAAGCCAAAATCTCACCACTGCACTCCAGCCTGGGCAACCGAGCAAAACTCCATCTCAAAAATAATAATAATAATAATAACAACAACAACAACAACATTTTATGGTTTTCTAAGAAAGAAAAAAATGCTGCTAATTAAACCACGGCAAGCCATCAATTATGAGCACATCCCCAACTCAGATATGCTAAAATATGAAAAGAGAACTTCTCAGGCTTAGTAAAATTAGGTATATCATTTGGAGATTCATACACAGGTGGTAAAACTTTTTTTAAAATGCAAAAATATGGCTGGGCCCGGTGGCTTACTCTTGTAATTCCAGCACTTTGGGAAGCCAAGGCAGGCAGATCACGAGGTCAGGAGTTCGAGACCAGCCTGGCCAACACAGTGAAATCCCGTCTCTACTAAAAATACAAAAAAAGAAAAAATTAGCTGGGCGTAGTGACAGGTGCCCATAATCCCCACTACTCAGGAGGCTGAGGCAGGACAATGGCTTGAACCCAGAGGCAAAGATTGCAGTGAGCTGAAATAGCGCTACTGCACTCCAGCTTAGGCAACAGAGTGAGACTCCATCTCAAAAAAAAAAAAAAAAAAAAGAAAAAAAGAAAAAGAAAAGAAAAAAATGCAAAAATATTATCCTAGAAATCAGGATGGCCCTTTTCCGGTCATTGTGGTTTAAAAAAAAAAAAAAAAAGATAAAAAGATAAAAAAGAGGCCGGGCACGGTGGCTCAAGCCTGTAATCCCAGCACTTTGGGAGGCCGAGGCGGGTGGATCACAAGGTCAAGAGATCGAGACCATCCTGGTCAACATGGTGAAACCCCGTCTCTACTAAAAATACAAAAAATTAGCTGGGCATTGTGGTGCTTGCCTGTAATCCCAGCTACTCAGGAGGCTGAGGCAGGAGAATTGCCTGAACCCAGGAGGCGGAGGTTGCGGTGAGCCGAGATCGCACCATTGCACTCCAGCCTGGGTAACAAGAGCGAAACTCCGTCTCAAAAAAAAAAAAAAAAAAAAAAAAAAGATAAAAAAGAAATCAGGATGGGGCGGCTTCTCGAAGCGAGGGC